TTAATCGGCGTTGTTATTAATTATTTAAAATTAATTATTGAAAATTTAACACACGTGTTCATTTAATTAAAATTAAAAAAGATTTAATTATATATAAGCATAAAAATATAGTTTATTAGAACACTTTCCTTTATTTATATAATTATATTTATTTTAAAAGTTTAATTTGTCATGAATATAAAGTCAGTAGTTAGTTTTTATTAGTTTTAACTTAATTTAATAGTTAATAAGTTAATTGAAATTATAAAAATAAAGAATTTAAATCTTAATTTAAAGTTAATCAATTTAAGTACATTGTATGATATATTTATATGTATTAATTACATTTATTTAGACATCAAATATTTAACCCAAAAAACATACAAAAATAACAATTGAATTAAAACAATTAAATGAATTAAAATTGCAACATTACAATTCTTACATCAATTTTTCATTATTAATTATTTATACCATATAACAAAAAAATTTAATTAATAAGAATTGCGATCAATTTTATCAAAGTATGATCCGTTCAATGAATTTTTATCATATAGATATTCGCCGATTCCTGGGCCCACTCGCTTCAATTGTGTCACGTGATCACCTAATTCCTTAAGATCGATAACCTGTTCATTCAAAAAGTTGGACAAAAAACGACTAAAATCGTGATCGTTTACACGATCGGCGAGTGCGGTCAAATCCATGATAGCCTTAGTCTGACTCTGTTCCACCTGTATGGTCGCCTCCATGGCCTTCAAGGGTGTCCAACCCTCCTGTATTGGAGGCGCCGGAATGTCCTTCAATATAACACGACCACCACGTTTGTTCTGGTATTCCATGAACTTTCTAGTAATGTTCATCTGGTCGTCGGCCCTTTCCTTAAAAAACACGTGAAAACCTGGCAACGCTACACTGTCGCGGTTAAAGTACCATGACTATTTGACGAGTATGATAAGTTATATATAAATGAAATTAAGAATTAATTGACATAGTTACTTATTAACGCTTAAGCACAACAGATATTTTACATACACCTCTACAACAGTCCCTATACTTTTTGTATGTAAGACAGTGAAATGTGGAGCACAGGGACTCATAGATGGCTCTCATTCAAAAGTCGAGTCAA